TTTTTTTGAAAAATGGAGTTTGTGTTTATTTTGGTCAGCAGTGGTTTCGTCCTTGAAACTCTCCCATTTGTGGTCAGGCTTATTCTTATATTATGTAATCTTGACTGGAAGAAGTGAGGCCTGCAGTTCTTTAGATGCTATTCTGGGTTCTTTAGTGACCTCCTACACAAGTTGTTGATGTGCTCTGGCAGTGCTCATCTTATTCCTCCTTGCACACAGGGGCAGACACCAGTCCTGATGATGGGTTAAGGACCTTCTATGGCCCAGTCCAGCTTTCCTAAAGTAACTGCCTGTCTGTTCGAATCTCTCCCACGCTCTTGAAATTGTGCTGGGAGACACAGAAAGCCTTCTGTCAATGGCAGATGTTGATGTGTCACCCTGCCACAGTTGGTCTACCTGTGTAACCTCTGTAGGGTCCAAGTATTGCCTCAGACTACTAAAAGCACAAGGTGATACAGAGACTGGCCTAATAGAGGACTAGTCTCATCAAACTAGTGGAAAAACAGAAAAGACAAGGAGGGAAAAACTGTTGGTGGCCTCCATCTGTAAAACCATGTTTTTGGGGGTTGTGTCAATGTTGCAAAATAATTAGAAAATGTAAGTGCCAGACTACATGCTCATAACCCACCTTTGGTACAGCAAATGCAGGAGCAATGGGGAAGTCGATGGGTGCAACTGCAGCATCGGCAAAAGCTGTGTAAAACAAATCAGAGAATGTACAGATATGTATGAACTGTTTGGCAACCAAACGTCATCCAAAGATACTCTCAGGAGGAAACAAGAAACACTTTCATTTCAAAAGTAGTTTATTTTACCACCGTGACTTGATTTAAACAAGAACTGGTGTCAGATTCAAATGGATGCTTTGAAAAACAACAACTAAACAAAGCCAGCTAACGGTTTAACAACAGAAGATTTTTTATGACAGATTTTTGCTACTTTAATGAAGATAGTTGAACAGATACCACTGGAACAAATGATGGTCAAATGTATCAAGTCAGCTTCCACCCAGTTCTTTTCACTTTATATAGGTCCAACTATTTGGAGCCATTCGGCCTTTGGGTTTGCAATAACCCACTTTTAAAGATGCCTATAACAAATATCAAAGCTTAAACTTATTTGCTGTTTTCTTGTTATTTTAAATGCTCTGAAAAAAGCATTAAAAAAAAAAAAAAAAGAGCGGTCAATGTGGTTCTGTCAGAGGTTTCTTCCTGTTAAATGTTTTTCTTTCCCACTGTCACCAAGTACTTGATCATATGGTGTCAGGTAATTATTGGGGTTAGGTTTTACACTGTCTTTTTGTTTTTTCCAGCAATATCGACCAGCACTGCCTCCTTCTTCACCTTGTGAGTGC